GCATGCGTAGGCTGCAAAGGAACAAGTAATAGGTTTATTCCATGCTGGAAAGAGAAGAAATAAAACACAATGTTTCTGCCATGGAGCCTTCTTCAGGTGTTGTGTTTTCTTTCTTCTCTTTTCACCATGGAATAAACCTATTACTTGTTCCATTGTAATCCTTTACTGCACATCACTTTACACAAATAATATCTATTGATCTGGATGGTTGTCTCTAATATTTTGGCCAGTGAGTGTATATTACACATACACACAAGCGTATAGAGATAACTCCTACTATATTTATTTCTTGGGGAGATTTCAGCTTTTGGACAATTAAGAATATAATATTAACAGTACAAATGAAATTGGGAGATACAGTAGTGCAGTTATTAATATTGCTGCCTGGCAGCTCTGAGTTTTGGACCTGAAGTGCTATCTGGAAGGAGTTTGTATGTTCTCTCTGTGTTCATTTGGGTTGTCCCCAGGTGCTTTGGTTTCCTCCCACAGTCTAAAGACATTAAATAGCTGTTCATGTGGAGTTCTCTCCAGGTCCATGTTGGTTTCTGCCAAGTATTTCATTGATTCTGGAGTGTCCATGTCTCTGCGATGCACTGGAATCCCACCTATTTGACAAAAAGTCACTTTCTGTGTCTCCAGGATTAGAGGCACACTGATAAGAGAAAGATGGAAATATCACTTAAAAATAAGACATACATCAAGGCTAATGCAATTCAAACAAATGGTAAAGCAGGAACATAAAATACCTTTTTTTCTAGATTGGATATAACATTTGTGTCACGAAACAGTTTTCCCGGGCCCTATGCAGATGACACAATCCGGATTTGTAAGGAAACACTGGGGAAAAAGTCATGCAGGAGAGGGTATGGAAACAGGGGACGTGTCCAAGGAGTGCAGGTGCCTAGGGGAAGTGAGTCTGGGGCGAACAATCCATATAGCAAATCCAAACCGGTAAACAAAAACACAGGCAAAAATCCATGGCCAGGAGATCCAGCCGGGGGATAAGGAACAGGAACCGGGTCGGAACCGGCGGGGGGAATCAGGAACAGAAAGTTAAAATCATAACTGAGCCAGACGCTGCAGGACCCGGGCTCTCATGAAACGGGATTCAATGAGGAACCTCGAGTAACGTCTACGTCTGGCTTTTAAGGTGGAACTAAAGATGGGCTGGAATAAGGAACAGGTGTGGGGAATGAGGTAGAACAAGGAAGGGCTGGAGCACCCTTAAGAGGAGGAGTAGCGATTGTGACAATTTGAAAGTTATATCCTTTTATATTTCTGAAGAATGTTCTACAATTCCAAAATAGCATGAGAGCTATAGGCTCAGTGACTTAAGGTTCACTTAAGCCCTGTCAGCCCAATCATGAGAGCAGTTGCCACCCATGTTTTCAGTAGTATTTAGTTTATTGAGGGTAGTCTTGGGTGCAGTTGAGAGGAAAGTATTGCAAAAGTCAGTTATAGAAAAGACAAAGTATATTTAAAGGTTCTCCCTTTTAAATATAAGGCATTGAACACTTTAACTCCTAATGACTTTAAGAATGCATTGCTTGATTGTAATCAAACACTCTGGGATCAGTTGATTTATGTCTCTTTAATTTACCTAAGACCAGGCTTCACACAGTATATAAAACCCATTATAGTCTCAAAAACTGTGCACTTTTGTGAAACTCACTTAAAGGTCAATAATTTACAGAGTCCACTGTAACATTGAAATTAGTCTCATACTGTGTCTATGCTTAGTTCACAATTTTATGCTTCACAATGAGTCGGCATTCAGTTGCAATGTGTTGTGATGTAATGCACAATGGCAGGTCTCAGTACACAGTGTCAGTACTCAGTTCACAGCAGTGTGTCTCCCAGTGTAAGTTCCCAGTTCAGAGTAGCATATCTCTCACTGTGTCACTACACAGTTTTTTGGTTCTCTGCTAACAATAGTGCATCTCCTAGACTGCTGGTACTAAGTTGATAGGACTATCACTGAGTGTGTTGGTACTGAGTTCACAGTATACAGTGTGTCAATCAGTTCACACTAGTGTGTCTCCCAGTGTGTCAGCACTCAGTTCACATTAGTGTGTCTCCCAGTGTGTCAGCAATCGGTTCATTAGTGTATGTCCTGGTGTGTCAGCACACAGTTCACATTAGTGTGTCACCCAGTGTGTCAGAAATATGTTAACATTAGTGTGTCTCCCAGTGTGTCAGCACTCAGCTCACATTAGTGTGTCTCCCAGTGTGTAAGCACTCAGTTCACATTAGTTTCCTG